GAAGGGAGGGCAGGGACAAGGGGAAAAAATGAGAACCAAGACTTGTCATGTAGAGGTACAAGATCCCAACAATGAATGTAACTGTACCGTATCCCTAAAATGTACCAATAAACTCAATTAAAGCTGTTAAAAAAAAAAGAGGGCTTTTGAGAGGTGGAATTATGCTCACTTTTTTGTTTATTTATTTATTTTGAAATGAAAATTTCAGATCAGAAAATGCAGCAATGTGCCTGTTTCCCCCCAAAAGCTGCATTGAGATATGTAAATAATTGACTTTTTAATTTGTTGATTAAAGGCCAAAACAATACTTTTCTTTTCTGTTTCCTCAGGATATGAATCACCCAACACCAGAAGACACTAAATAGCAGGGGACAGGAGGAGTGTACCTTTTGTTCCTGATGGTGGTGAGAACCACCTCCTTCCTCTTATTGTGGAGTGCAATGTGCAGAAAGGAGGCCCACTGTTTGTTCAAAATTATGTCCGCGTCATAGTTCAGAAGAAGTGCAACAGCTTTGGCGTGCCCTTCTCTCGCAGCAAAGTGGAGAGCTGTGTTCTTTTACATAAAACAAAACACAGGAAATGGGGTAACAGTGGTTAAATTTACTCTGGTCATTCTATTGCTTTATTTCATTGTTTAATTGCTTAAAAGAAATAATCAACAAAGCTAATTATTTAACATTAAAAATACATACATCTAAAATGTGTTCAGAATCAAAGTTTGAAATGAATGCATCATTCAGCTGTGTCCGTGTGTGTGTGTGTGTGTGTGTGTGTGCGTGTGTGAATTTCCTTTTTGCATTGCTTTCACAGTAGGATTGTGCTAAAAGGCCAAAGGACAAGCTTTTAGGGTAAGTATATTACAGTGAACACAGAAAAAAATTATTCCTGGGAGATTTATCATCTAGTAAAGCTATGGTTTCAAGGTTTGAATTTTAACAAACTTGTAAATTTCTTTAAACCAGTGCTTACTATAAGATTGCATTTTATGTCTTGTCAAAAAAAAGACATTTAAAGATCATCTTTCTCCATTATTTTATGAACAAATACACATTTTAGTACTTACTTTCAAAAAAGAAGGTTTTAATGGCACAGTAAAGGACAATATGCTTCAAAGTGATATACTTAATTTTATGAACACTTACCCCCTCTCCCTTAATTTTTCTGGGTTTACCAGCGAGTGGTGAAAACTTTGTCATCAAACTGTAATGTCCCTGGACAATCACCGTAACACTGGAGGGGTGGCCTCAACATGAAACCATCCTTTAGTATTCTTTATTTCTGCCACCCTTTACTCATTCCTCACTCTAAGAGCCTGCTTTTCATTAAAAAAAAGAGAAAAGCTGAGAATAGGGCAAGAAAGGGAAGAGGGTGGCTAAGAAGAAGGCTTTTGTCCTGCCATTTTAAAAATGTCTTCTATAATAAGATCTTGATTTTGTAAGAGGAATGCATTACATACCCCTTCTTCATCTAGTCGATCTGTACACTTCAAATTGGTATCAAGAATGACCTTCATTGTCTGAGTGTACCCTCCCATGGAAGCGTGGTGCAAAGCAGTCCAGCCATTGTGGTCACTGTCAAGAATTAAGAGAAGACGTGTGCATAAACACTCCGATGAAGTGTGGGAAGGGAGCTACCTAACCCGTTATAGGTGGAGGTAAAACAGCATTGAGATCTAGCAACCCAGTATGTAGTTGATATGGGTAATATGAGAACAATTAAAATATAAGATAATAATAATTAAACTATTAAGATAATCATTTAAGACCAATGGTCTTAAATGATCTACCTGTAATATGATTCATATATAT